AAAAAAAAAAAAAAAAAAAAAAAAAAAAAAAAAAAAAAGAAGCAATTCTGCCTCAAAACTGTAACACAGAAATCCTGCCTGAAGTTCCATCCTGCTGGCCTGCCCTGCAGATTGCAGACTTGCCAGCCCTTACAATATTGCATGAGCCAATTCCTTAAACACACAGACACAGACACACACACACACCCCCTAATGCTTTCCTTTCTCTGGAGAACCCTACTATACCTGGGAACTTGCTAGAAATGCAAATTCTCAGGCTCTCACCAGGCCAACTGACTCAGACAGTCTGGGGTGGGTGGGATGCTTCAACAAGCTTTTCCGGAGATTCTGCCACACCCTCAAGTTTGAGAACCGCTGCTGCACAATCTCGAAACTCAAAAGTGTATGCAGAGACCAGCAGCACTGGCATGTCCTGGGAACTGGCTAGAAATTCAGGTTCCCAGGCCCCACCCAGACCTGTGAATCAGGCTCTGCATTGAACCGGGTCCCTGGATGGCAGGGGCACCATAGGGTTTGAGAAACACTGACCTGGTGCTTTCCTGAGCATAGAGCAAAGACAAGGTGTTTCCTAGACTCTTGGAAATAACAATGAAAACGATCAATTATCAGGCACCTAACGCCAAGCCCTTGATATAACTTGTATAATTCATGTGCTGAACGTGTGTAACTTCCCTGAACTCTCTCACAATCCTGTAAGGTAGACACACTCGTTAATTCCATTTTACAGATGAAGAAATGAACCCAGAGGGACTTAAAGGGGTCAGGTGACCTGCTCAGGGTCATACAGCTTGTGAGCGGTGGACACAGAATTACAACCCAAGCCAGAAATGACTAGAAGCACAGAAGCGCCCACTCTCCACCCCGCAGACAGTGTGCCCCGCGATTTGGGAGAAAGGATACACACACAGACACACAGAGCCAAGATGCCTCCTCTTAATTACAGCTGTAGCTGTCGTTGTGTCTGCTAACAAAGGCTGTGGGCTGGGAATGGAATCAATTTAATATGCAAGTGCTGTTCCCAATTAGCACAAATTACCATTTGTCTGAGAGGATAATACTGGGAGCTGGAATCCGCCCAGGGGGTCACAGCACTCCGAGCTCATCAGCCTCATCCCTGCTGCTCCAGCCATAACCTGCCTCCCTGCGCCTTCCCTAGACATGGGAGAGGCAGGATGGACCAGGGGAAGAACCTTGGAGGCTCAGGTACAGCCTGGCGCCATGCCTGGTGGGAGCAGCCATTGTTTTTGCCAGCCTCAAGTCAGTTCCCCTCCAAGCACCTGTGTTTTTGGCTAACTCTGCATCAGCCAACACCAGATGCCAGTCTTCAGCTCCACAGGAAAGGGCTGCTCCCTCCTCCCTCCCACTCCTTCCCTGGGGCCTGGAACATTCTCCAGCCTAAAAAACCTAAGAGGGCTTTGATGATGCCATTCAAGGCTACGGTGGCATGGCACCAGAAAAGGCTGAGTAATTGGTAGGTGTACTGTCACCCTCACCTTCAGTTTCTTTTTCTTTTTTTTTTTTTTTTTTTTTTTTTTTTTTGAGACAGTCTTGCTCTGTCCCCCAGGCAGGAATGCAATGCGTGTGATGTCGGCTCACTGCAACCCCCACCTCCCAGATTCAAGCGAGCCTCCTACCTCAGCCTCCCGAGGAGCTGGGATTGCAGGCGTCCGCCATCAAGGTTGGCTAATTTTTGTATTTTTAGTAGAGATGGGGTTTCACCATGTTGGCTAGGCTGGTCTCGAACTCCTGACCTCAGGTGATCTGCCCGCCTCAGCCTCTCAAAGTGCTGGGAGTCCAATCTCTCACTTCTGAGAAGCCTGCCCAGCCAGGGAGAGCCTCCTGTGGCTCCCTCTGCTGACACTATTCTCCTTAATAACAGCACAACTGGCTGGGCGCGGTGGCTTACACCTGTAATCCCAGCACTTTGGGAGGTTGAGGCGGGCAGATCATGAGGTCAGGAGTTCGAGACCAGCCTGGCCAACATGGTGAAACCCCATCTCTAATAAAAATACAAAAATTAGCTGGGCACAGTGGCAGGCACCTGTAATCCCAGCTCCTCAGGAGGCTGAGACAGGAGAATTGCTTGAACCCAGGAGGCGGAGGTTGCAGTGAGCTGACATCGGACCACTGCACTCCAGCCTGGGCAACAAGAGCAAAACTCTGTCTCAAAAATAATAAAAATAAAATAACAGCACACTACAACCACACAGGTCTCCTCTGTTTGCTTACTGTCTGCCCGCAAGAAGGGCAGAGCCCCAGGCTGACTTGCTGAGGGCTGTGTCTTCAGCGCCTGGGTCTGTGCCTGGCATGTGGCACATGCTCAGTAAGTATTTGTGGAATGCGTGAATAAGCAGGGCTCAAGTTCTTCATTGCTAAAATGGGGCCTTGATCCCTCCCCTGAGGGTCACTATGAGCACTGGGGTAATGCAGGTAAAGCATTTGGCATGTCAGGAAGAGATTCCAGAGTCCCTGCCCTGGCATCCTAAAGATCACTTGTGCATTCAGTAAACACTTATTGAGCACCTAATGTGTGCCAGCTGCTGGGTCCACACACTGCAGAGAAGAAGGGCTAAGGCTGGCCCTTCGGGAAGACAGACTGCATCTGAGGCTGAATTCCCAGGCAGGGTCGGCACCTGATCCCTGCTCTGGCACCTGGGACTCATTCCCTCCCATCTAGCCCCAGGCACTGGGCACTCACAGGCTTCATGATCCAGGTGATTCCTGGGTTTTTGCGAAACTCCTCCACAAACAGGTGGTACTCGGACGGCAACTCAAAGGTTTTGGGGAAGAAGTCGCACTTGGCTGCCTCCAGCTTTCCCGCCTCACGTTCTAGCTGCTTCCGGAACCGCTTCAGGTTCTTCACCATGTAGTTCTTGCGGGTCAGCTGGGCAGCAGGAAGGGCAGGTGGCCATTAGCTCCTGCTCACCACCCCGCTCCCCTCCCAGCCCCACCCAACCACCAGCCACCCTGCAGCCTCCAGGCTCTGGCCCACAAAATAGCAACAGTAAGAGTAACTTTAACCCAGAAAGAGCCTGCTAGTCTAGAATTATCCCCACTTCACAGATGAGAAAACTGGGACTTAGATAGGTTAAGTCAATTGCCCAGAGCAAGGAAGGAGCTGCACTGCCAGGATTTGCCCAGGGCCTGTCTTGACTCCAAAATTCATGCTTTTAACCACTAAACTACACTAATCTTTAAAAATCTCCCACCACTGCCTCCTCCAGTCCTGTTTCTCCTAGATCTGCTTCCCACCTTTAGACCCCAAACTTCTCAACTTGCCTTTACCCTGAAATCACCATAATTGTTCATGCATCCTCTCCCTTCAGACCTTGCACGCCCAAACCAGCTTGATTCTCAAATCTTGGTGCTGAAACTCCAACCCGCCTATGACCTCCAATAATCCTCAGGCCTTAGATCCCTAAGCCCCCAAACCATTTGGCTCTCCACAGGTCCCGCCCGCATGCTCCCCACCCAGCCTTGCAACCCACATTCCAGTACACTTTTCCGTTCTGGTCCTTGTACCCCGAAAACCAGCTCCCGCTCGTGGCCACACCCAGTGACATGAGTTGGTTGGCTCAGTCCTCGCCTGCCTGCCCAGCTCACCTCGTAGTGGTTCCGGAAGTGACTGATCCGAACGTGTTCGTCCATGTAGGTGTGGTCAAAGTTCTCCCGGAGCCAGCTGACATCACACCAGTAGAAATCCCACTCCCCTTCGCTGGGGGTGGGGTGGGGATAAAGGTCATTATCTGAGGACCTTGGCACTGCAAGGCCCAGGGAAGTGCTGCTCGGGGGCTTGAGGAAGGTTAGGTAGCAGTGCGTCCCTCTGGAATCTCTTGGAGGTAGCCATGGGTGCTACCGGCCTAAATGTGCTTTGTTAGACCAGAGCAAAAACCATGGAAATGTTCCCACAGAAATCCAGGTGGCTGGCTTCCCTTGAGCTGTCACTGAGCCCAGAGGGCCTCCTGGCACCTACTGGCTGGGCTGAGGGGCCGACACCCCTTTAGATAGAGCACGTCCTCCCCAGACCACAGTCCCGGCTACCCTCTGTGGTGCGATAGCCCCTCGGCCTCACTTGTTCTTATTCAGTCGACACACCTGCAGCCCTCAGTGGAATGAGCTAACGTTTGCAGGCCCCTCCCAGTTAAAGCTCTCCACTCATGAAATCCTCAGAGCAGCCCCCAAAGGTGACTTGGATCATCCCCAGAGCTCTAAAGTGGGATGGCCTTGCTCACTGAGGACATGGCAGCAGCAGGACCCACAACCAGCTCTGCCGGCTCCAAATTCCGATCCCATTCTCTACCACCATGCCAGGGAGAGGGAGGGGAAACCGGGCCAATCTACCAAATCTGGGTGTCAGACCCTGGATGTGGGGAGGAGGTGCTTGAAAAAGATGCCACAGGAAATAAACACCATCATGACTGTTCATAATTTTTTTAAGTAAAAAAGTACAGTCTGGGCACGGTGGCTCACGCCTGTAATCCCAGCAGTTTGGGAGGCTGAGGTGGACGGATCACACAGTCAGGAGATCGAGACCATCCTGGCCAACATGATGAACCCACGTCTCTACTAAAAATACAAAATTAGCTCGATGTGATGGCACACACAGCTACTTGGGAAGCTTAGGCAGGAGAATCGCTTGAACTCAGGAGGCAGAGGTTGCAGTGAGCTGAGATCACGCCACTGCACTCAAGCCTGGGTGACAGGCGGAGATTCTGTCTCAAAGAAAAAGAAAGTACAATATAACTGAAGCCCCCATCCATCCCTGCCTGATTCTATCTCCTTCTCTCCTGCCATAAAGGAAACCATTAGCCTGAGTTTGGTGTGCTATCATTTCTATTCAGTGGCCTTATAGTGCCATCATGGATATATATATATATGTGTGTGTGTGTGTGTGTGTGTGTGTGTATTCATGCATCATGGCACATAGCATTGTTTGTCATGATTTTAAACTGAATGCCAATACTTATTGCTTACCACATACCAGGCACTGCTCTAAGTACTTCACAAATATTCACTCATGGATCCTCAATGCAACCCGAAGCGTTAGGTTCTGTTATTATGCCCATTTTATGGATGAGAAAATGGAGGCAGGCACACAGAGCAACTCACCTAGTTCACGAATCTAGTAAGTGGCGGAGCAGGATTTGAACCCAGGCCCTCGAGCTCCAGAGTCCAACCTCTGTGTTTAGAAATACTCCTGTCTGTTTCTTTTCACACACCCTTTTTTCCAGCAAGCTTTTGTTTTGGAGATCAATTCTTTTGATACATAGGAGTCTAATTCAGTCATTCTAACTGCCATTTCCCATTCCATTGGGTGAACATACCACAGTATATCCATTTTCTTATTAAAAGGTGTTTGGGGCTGGGCGTGATGGCTAACACCTGTAATCCTAGCACTTTGGCAGGCCAAGGCAGAAGAAGCACTTTAGGGCAGGAGTTTGAGAACAGCCTGACCAACATGGTGAAACCCTGTCTCTACTAAAAATACAAAAATTAGCTGGGTGTGGTGGCGAGCACCTGTAATCCCAGCTACTCAGGAGGCCGAGGCAGGAGAGTCGCTTGAACCTGGGAGGTGGAGGTGCAGTGAGCCGAGATCACACCATTGTACTCTAGCCCAGGTGACAGAGTGAGACTTCATCTCAGAAATTAATTAATTAATTAAAAATAAAAGGTGTTTGCGGCTGGGTGTGGCAGCTCATGCCTGTAATTCCAGCACTTTGGGAGGCCAAGGCGGACAGATTGCTTGAGCTCAGGAGTTTGAGACCAGCCTGGCCAACATGATGAAACCCCATTTCTACCAAAAATACAAAAAATTAGCCAGGAGTGGTGGTCCCAGCTACTCAGGAGGCTGAGGTGGGAGGATCACTTGAGCAGGGCAGTGGAGGTTGTGGTGAGCCAAGATCGCACCACTGTACTCCAGCCTGGGTGACAGAGTTGAGAGCCCATCTCAAAAAAAAAAAAAAAAAAGGTGTTTAGTTTGTCTCCCTTACTCCCCACCCCTTTTCTCTATTACAGACAAGTAGGCTGAGTTTTAAAAGATATCTTGAGGAGGTTTGAGGCAGAAATAGAGAAAAATGAAGAGACATTACCATCACCTTGGGGTGAGGAATGAACAGGCCCTGAACAGGACCAACGGGGAGGATGCTGAGGCAGACTGTATTTCCAAAAGATGCCTACACCGTATCCCTCACCCAGCGGCTGTGTGTCTGAAGGTCTCCTTGTGAGGCCACAAGAAAAACCCATGAAATCTTCTTCGGGTGTCTGCCCTAGTGAGATCCCTGCAGACAGCTAGCACCAACTGCTGCACCTGTGAGTCAGATGCCCTCAGACAACTCCTGCCATCAAGTGACCTCTGGATCTGGGCTCTTCCCAGCTGATGCTCCCAGTGTTATAGACAGGCCAGTCCCGCTGTGTCCTGCAAGAGTCCCTGACTCACAGGAGCCCTGTGCCTAATGCAATGCTGTCTTAAGCAGCTAAGTTTTGGGATCTGTTACACAGCCATAGCAACTGGAACAATGGCCAAGCAGTTGGGCCTTGTGTTGTAAATGGGGCTCCCTCTAGAACTTTTTTTTTTTGGAGATGGAGTTTCCCTCTTGTTGCCGAGGCTGGAGTGCAATGGCGCAATCTTGGCTCACCACAACCTCTGCCTCCCAGGTTCAACCAATTCTCCTGCCTCAGCCTCCCGAGCAGCTGGGATTACAGGCATGTGCTACCATGCCTGGCTAATTTTGTAATTTTTTTAGTAGAGATGGGGTTTCTCCATATTGGCCAGGCTGGTCTTGAACTTCTGACCTCAGGTTATCCACCCGCCTCAGCATCCCGAAGTGTTGGGATTACAGGCATGAGCCACTGCACCCGGCTCCCTTTGGAATTTTCAAAGAACTAAAGATATAAATTGCTTCTCCTTGTGGCTGCTGGGTTGGTGTTTCTCCTGAATGTCACACCATGTGCAGAGAGGCTTTAAGGCAGGCAGGCCCAGCCTTTCACTGAGCTCAGAGATGTCCAGAGATGTTCATCTGTGCACACACCATGAACAGATGTGGTGACGTGACGCACCGTAACAGAATGACACTGGAACCAGAAATCTATGGTTTCCAAATTTTGTCCTAGTTACTCATGAAAATCTGGGGCCTGGTCCTTCTCCAAACCTCCCTTGTGGCTTTTGCCCCAGGCACAGTGGTTCTGAAGAACAGTTTCAAGAACTGATGGAAACCTACTGGAGAAATGGCCATGTGCTGGCCGGGTGTGGTGGCTCATGTCTGTAATCCCAGCACTTTGGGGGGGGCCCAGGCGGGTGGATCACCTGAGGCCAGGAGTTCAAGACCAGCCTGGCCAACATGGTGAAACCCTGTCTCTACTAAAAAATACAAAAATGAGCTGGGCATGGTAGCATATTCCTGTAATATTAGCTACTTGGATTACTAAAGGCAAGAAGCAAAAGTTGCAGTGAGCCTAAATTGCACCATTGCACTCCAGCCTGGGCAAAAGTGTGAGACACCATCTTGGGGAAAAAAAAAAAAAAGAAATGGCTGTGTGCTCTATAAACCCTCAGACACCATAGAGCCACAGATTCCCAGCTGGCTGGCTTGGGCCTCATCTAGATGCCCAGTCCTGCCTTTTCTCCACCCTGATGTTTGTACCAGGCCATGTTGTGCAGCACAAGGAGCAGTAGACCAGGAGTCAAGAGCCCTGATTCTGGTCTTGTCACAGTCACTGGCACTTACATGACCTTGCCCTCTTCTCTGGGCCTCAGTTTCCTATTGGGAAAATCTAGGAGTGGTAACCTCTAGGCAAGATGATAGACTGCAATGAGCCAAACTGATACTAAATAATTAAACAAGGGGCAGGAAGAAAAAACCTTTCTCTACAGAAGAATGCCACCTAATACATGTAGAAGGAATGAGAGAGAGTAACCATTTTGCAATTATTATAATCGTAATAGATTTAGGCAAGAATCCTCAGAAAAGGCCAGGCATGGTAGCTTCCGCCAGTAATCCCAGCATGTTGCAGGGCCAAAGCAGAAGGATCATTTAAGCCCAGGAGTTTGAGACTAGCCTGTCAACATGGGTAAACCTCATCTCTACAAAAAATACAAAAATTAGCCAGGCATGGTGGCACAAGCCTGTAGTCCCAACTACTCAGGGGGCTGAAGTGGGAGGATCACTTGAGCCCAGAGGGTCAAGGCTGAAGTGAGCCATGATTATACTACTGTACTCCAGCCTAGGCAACAGAGTGAGACCCTGTCTCAAAAAAAAGAAAAAAAAAAAGAATTACTGAAAAATGCTAAAAACGTTGTGTGAAAGTTTGTTGGGAACAAGATATTTGCATAGTCTCAGAGTATCTGCCCACAAGATACTTATTAATTATTTTAAAAAGTTAATTTACATTGGAGAAACCTGGCAGACACCACCTTAATCTAATGGTCATCAAGGTACTGTAACCAGTGATAAGACATATGGCATCACAAACCCCCTCATGAGTTCCATTGGGAAGCATCAAGAATACCAGAGCATCATTTCTGTGGTATTCTTGCCAAAATGCATAGCCTCACAATGAAAGAACATCAGACAAATCCAATTCAAGGGCCATTCTACAAAACGTACTCTTCCAAAAATGTGAAGGGCATGAAAGACAAAGACCAAGGAACTGAAATATATTTGAGGTAAAAAAAAGGTCAATTAAATGCAAAGAGGAATCCTGGATTCGATTCTGGAA